ACTGTTGTCATTTTTATGCCAACTGGTAATACATGCAGCTAAGTACAAAAACACCAATCAGACATAAGTCACGAAACAATGGAGTCAAAATTCACCTCAGGTATTGGTGCAGAATGGCTGATGTGGGGTTGTTCACCTGTTAGGCACAGTGTCTGATAGTCCATTTGACTGCAGTTAGTGGAACCTGTGCGGAGTACAATGGGTGCCTACCTCAAATTCATATGCTTCTCACCACTATCTAAGACAAATTTCTACTTCAACATGTTTTAATACTGTTTGGTGAAGGATATATATGACAAAATACTACCTAACTTAAATAGTGCCATTTCAGTTTTTGCGTCCATTTGAGAGGTCAGATAACACCTGACTTAAATGCTTCATCTCAAAGACAGCACCTCTGACAATGCAGCAAGCCCCATGCAAACATTTCCTTCTGAAACGCATGAACATATTTATGCCCTTTATGGTCCTTAACCTTGACATTAACATTCAAGTTAGATGAGTGATGATGTTGCTCATTTTGTGAGGCAGCTGAATTAAATCTATGTTATTTAATGCATTCATTCAAAACAATAACTCTGATTTTGTTTTACCTGCTCAGATTCTGAAGGGATGTAGATGTTTAAGATGTGGAAGGAATGACATAGGAATCTTTTTTTTCCATCAAGATCTGTACTGAACCATCAAATTTCTTGCTGCTTTGGGGCAGTACCGTGACTCAGTGGTTAGCACTGCTGCCTCACAGCACCAGGGACCTGGGCTCAATTCTGCCCTTAGGTGCTGCATGTATGGAGTTTGCACGTTCTCCCCGGGTCTGCGTGGGTTTCTTCCGGGTACTCCGGTTTCCTCCCACATTCCAAAGATGTGCCTGCTAAGTGGATTGGCCATGCTAAATTGCCCGTAGTGTTCAGGGATGTGTAGCTTAGGTGGGTTATGCAGGATGGGTCTGGATGGGATGCTTTGAGAGTCAGTGTGGACTTGTTGGGCTGAAGGGCCTGTTTCCACACTGTAGGGATTCTATGATGATTAAATACTCAGAGACAGATCAAGTTTTATTACACAGTTTTTCCAAGGTCCTGTAAATGTAGAAAAAAATTGTCATTCAAATCATTCAACAGAGCAGAGAGAAACAATTTGCTGTTTTTACCTATGTTGGATGATTACTCAATATTAAGGTGTTTATTCTATTACCTTGGTTATTACAAACTCCATTCACTCTTCATGCTTCTATGACACAACGTCAGAATTCAAATCATGACTTTCAAATACTTTCATCACCTTGCGCTCTCCTGTCTTTGTGATTTGTGTTTGATCAAGTGTATAATCAAGGGACTGGGGAACTCTTTCCACTGGCCAGTGCCTTATCTAGCACAAAGGAAGATGGCTGTAATTGTTGGAGTCCAGTCATTGTAGCCCCAGAACATGGCTTTAAGAGTTCCTTAACATTATTGCCCTAAATCCAACCATATTCAGCTGCTTCACAAATCACCTTTCTGCCACTGTAAGGTCAGAAGTGACGATGTTTGTTGAAGTTTGCACTGTGTTCTGTTCCATTCGCAGATAATAGTCCAGTTTGTGCCTGTCTGCAGAAAGACTTGGGTAATATGCAGGCTTAGGCCGATAAGTGGCAAGTACATTTACACCACCCAAGTGCTGAATTCTCAGAATTAATATCCTGGGGGAATACATTGACCAGAAACTGAACTGAACAAGCCATATAAATACTGTTGCTGCAAGAGTGCATCAAATGCTAGGAATTCTGCAGTAATTAGGTTTCTCACTCCTCCCTCAGCATCAACAAGACACAACTTAGGAATGTGATGAATTACTCTCCAATTGCCTGAACGAGTGCAGCTTCAACACCACAGAAGAAGCTCATCACCATCCAGGACAAGTTAGCTCCCCTGCTCACCACCATTAAGACAATTATCACACTGCCACTGGCGGATAGTATCAGCGGTATGCACCATCTTAAGGTGCACAGCAACAATTTGCCAAGGTCCTTCAACAGCACCCTCCACACCCAGGTCCTTACCACCTAGAGGAACAAATGCAATAGATGTATGGTAACACCACCATCTACAGGTTCCCCTCTAAGTCACACGTCACCATGGCTTGGAACTATATCATTGTTCCTTCTCAATTACTGGATCTAAATCCTGGAACTCTCTCCCAACTCCTAACACGGTGTGTGTACCTTGACAATGTGGATTGGTGCAGTTCAAAAAATAACTAAGGCCCTACCACCTTCTCATGTAAAATTAGGGTTCCACAATGAATGCTGGCCTTACCATTGTTGCCCACATTCTACGAATCAATTTAAAAAAAGCAAACAACTTCAGCCTTATGATACATAAACACAAATAGAAGCATAGAAACATAGAATATAGGAGCAGGATGAGGCCATTCGTCCCTTTGAGCCTGATCCACCATTCGTCACGATCACAGCTGTTTGCCCAACTCGATAGCTTAATTCTGCTTTCTCCCCATAATCTTTGATCCTATTTGCCCCAAGTGCTATATCTAGCCACCTCTTGAATACATTTTTGGCATCAACTATTTCCTGTGGTAATGAATTCCACAGGGTCACCACTCTTCGGGTGAAGAAATGTCTCCTCACCTCCGTCCTAAATCGTCTACCGCGAATCCTCATACTGTGACCCCGGTTCTGGACACACCCACTATTGGGAACATCCTCCCTGCATCTACCCTGTCTAGTCCTGTTAGAATTTGATAAGTCTCTATGAGATTTGCCCCTCATTTGTCTGAACTCCAGCGAAAACAATCCTGACCTATTCAATTTCTCCTCAGTGCCACCATCCCCAGAATCTGCCTGGTAAACCTTCGCTGCACTCCCTTGACAGCAAGAGCAGCCTTCCTCAGAGAAGGAGATCGAACCTGCACACAATATTCCTGTTGCTGGAGAAACTTAACAGATTTGGTATCATCTGTGGAGGGAAAGCAGAGTTAATGGTTCGAGTCCAGTGACCCTGATGCTGCCAGAGCTGCTGAGTTTCTCCAACAATTTCAGGTTTTGTTTCAGATTACCAGCATCCACAGTTCTTTGTTTTATTTCAGCCTCATGATTCCTGCTGTCCCATTTTGCTCCCCTGTTGTGAATTTGAGCGTATTACTTTTGCACCATTCCCTACAGTGTTCACTGGGTTTTTTTTTAATGCTAAAGACACTCTGTAATTGTACATTTTTATTTTTATCCTGTGGTTATACCATACAAGAACTGATGTGAATTTGCTGCCTAAAACAGGCAAGAAAAGGACTAGACCAGCAGTACTTCATAAAGGAATGGAAAGGAACTTGCAATGATGCGTTGTATTTCTTGATCTCGTCATGTCCCAAAGCGCATTACAGCTAACACAGTACTTTTTAAAATCAGATTACCATTGCTGTTTTATACAACACATTCAGTTTTGTGTTTCTAAATAATGTAAATAAAGTTGAAAAAAATATTTCATTGGCTGTAAAGTACTTTGGTATAATGAAAGATGCTATAAACATACAGATCTTTCTGTAAATCAATCTATTTTAGTTGCATTGCTAACTTAAAATACAAAGCATATGTATGTTTACTTGTATATTATGTACACTCAGATATGACTCACAATTAATCATTTTCATTTGTTTAATTTTTGCTATGAAACTTATTATTTTAAATAGAATATGGAAGAGAAAGCAGGAAAGAAAAGCAGAACATGAGTTTGGAAGTTACTTCATTATTAGTGATAAATGCACTACCCAGTACAGTGTTAGATTTGGATCTTGCATCATTGATGTGGATGTTGTAAGAATTCATTATCAGGCAAAGAGTTAATAGAAAGTGAAGGCTTTGCCACATGTCAGTTGCTTTTGAAGCAGGTCAATTAAAATGCTTAAATTGTAGTCTGTTTTGGTCTCCAAGTTTGAGCTTGATAAGCTTGAGATGATGGAAACCTTCTAATTTTGGGGTCTTAATTTGTGCACAAAAACAAAGTTACTGGAAAAGCTCAGCAGGTCTGGCAACATTCTGTGAAGAAAAAAATCAGAGTTAACGTTTCGGGTCCGGTGACCCTTCCTCTGAAGGATTGTGCCCAGGTTGGAAGGCTATACACAAGGTTTCCCACATACACTCAGTCAGTTGGACAGGATGGCAAAAGAGTCCAGTGAAATGGCCAACTCTGCCCCATCTCCAAACTTGCTGCTGTGGGAGCAATTAAATTCTTCCTGATGCTTCTTAACATAAGGAATGAACAAAGTGAAGTTTCTTGCTCCTGACTATCATTCACTGTCAGTTAGCTATTCAGTGAGAGCTAAAGGAAGGTATGCATGAATAGATGTTGGAAGAGAGGCTTGATTGTAATGACTGTAGTATTCTCCCAGATGACTGGTTCTGTACCTTGTAGTATTTACCACCTTGAGCAGTAGGTGGTATTGGATAAGGGTTGTTTGAGATAGTTCACTGCCACCAATCCTCCTTGAACTTTGCCTTGTCTTAGGCCGGTCTAGTGATTAGTGGTAGAGCATATATCACTGTTAATTATTTACAGAAGAGGTACCATTCTTAAATAATAAGGTTTATTGCATGATAACCGTTAAGTAGAACTACATGTGGTCAGGCATAATTACTTGTACTTCAAGGAGCTGGGACTGCTACATCTGCTCCCTCTAAAAGCTAGAATAGAATTTTTTGCTGCACCCACAGATAGTGTGTGATATCAGTAGAATGGGTGGAGTCAACTTAACATGTACATTAACTCGGTGAGATTCATTCTCTTATACAACAATGCCTGCTTTAATTGAATAGATTGCCAATGCCCACTGTCAATATTTTCATTTGAAGAATAATTACTTGGGAAAGCACTTGTATAACTATAGCCCTGTATGAGTTAATATCATCAGCAGAGAATGGGGGAAATGTTAAATCATCTTAAGTTTGTTTGGAAGATGTACCTGTATTACATTTGCTCTTTTCCTTGCCTAAAGAGATGTTCTGTTTCTATCTTCAGTTGTGATTATGTGTGCGAGTAGTCAGACCATAAGGAAAATCATGCTTGCAGCACATCGACAGGGAATGACCACTGGAGACTATGTATTCTTCAATATCGAACTCTTCAACAGCAGCATATATGGTAATTATATTTCTTTCCAAGAATTCCACTGTATTATCCAATGTCAGTAATCTTCAATATTTCAACTCTGATTATGTTCTTTATTATGATATAACACAGGTTCCCGAAAGATATACAACTCATGCATAATATATTTTGTTCTACCCCTACTCGGGCCCTCACCCAGAGACTCTTTTTCTGGTACATCAATGACACCATCAGTGCTGCTTCCCTCTCTCGTCTAGAAATGGAAAAATTTATCAATTTCACTCTAATTTCCACTCTGCTGTAATATTCATGTGGTCCACCTCTGACTCCTCCCTTCCCTTCCTCAACATCTCTGTTTCCATTTCTGAGGATAGGCTGGCCACCAATATCCACCAATATCCCGGTTACCTTGACTATGCATCCCCACACCCCTCTACCTGTTTTCCATTCTCCCAGTTTCTCCAGCTCTGTCACAGCTGTTCTGATAAAGCAGTGAAACTGATGAGATAATAGCGTGGATTGACACATGGAAGTGCGATATCGTTGCCATTAGAGAAACATGATTGAGGGAAGGGCTGGACTGGCAACTCAACATTCCAGGGTCTGGAATGTTTAGGAGAGACAAAGGGGGGTGTAAAAAGGGTGGAGTTGTAGCACTATTAATTAAGGAATCAATTACTGCAGTAAAGAGAGATAACATCTTGGAAGAGTTCTCAAACAAGGCTTTGTGGGTAGAACTTAGGAATGTTAAGGGTACAGCTACTTTGCTTTTCCCCAAAAAATCAACAGGAAATAGAGGAGCAAATATATAGACAATTCACAGAGGTGTGTAAGAGTGATAATCAGGTAATTATACGCAGGGATTTCAATGTTCCCAACATAAACTGGGGTGGTCATAATGTTAAGGGTTTAGCGAGGGCACATTTCTTAGAGGGCAACTAGATATAGCACTTGGGGCGAATGGGATCAAAGGTTATGGGGAGAAAGCAGGATTAGGCTATTGAGTTGGATGATCAACCATGATCATGATGAATGGCAGAGCAGGCTCGAAGGGCTGAATGGCCTCCTCCTTCTCCTGCCTGCTATGTTTCTATGTAATGTATCTAGGGGTTTTTGTTGTACCAATACGTAGAGGGCCCAACAAGGGACGGTGCAGTGCTGGATCTGGTTGTGGGGAAAGGAGCTGAACAAGTGTTCAATGTGGCAGTGGGGGAACACGTAGGCAACAGCGACGACAGCACGGTACGGTTCAAATTTATTCTGGACAAGGAAAAAGATGGCCTGCAAGAGACGGCTTTGGATTGGGGGAAGGCAGATTTTATTAAAGTAAAGCAGGATAAGGCTATAGTAGACTGGGAACAGCTCCTTGCAGGTAAGTGTACAGCGAAGCAATGGGGTCATTCAAGAAGGAGCTAGGGAGAGTACAAGTCCAACATGTGCCCTTTAGAATGAAATGAAGGAGCAATAGGTTTAGAGAACAATTCAGGACTGGATGAGGATGAAGAGTAGGACCTTTAGTAAGCTCAAAGGGAGCAATTCAGCTGCAGCCCGAGATGAATACAGGAAGTGCAGGAGGGAACTGAAGAAAGCAATTAGAAAAGCAAAAAAATACATGAGAAAGGATTTGTGAACGTAAACAGGATTAGGGAAAATCCTAAGATACTTTATAAATGCATTAAAAGGAAAAGGTTAACCATGGAAAGAGTAGGGCCCCTTAGGAACTTAGGAGGCAACCTGTGTGTGAAGTTGCAGGATATTGGAAGGGTGTTGAATGAATACTCCTCTTTGGCCTTCATTCTGGAAACGGAGAACATAGGTATGGAATTCAGGAAAAGGGACTGTGAGGAACTTGCACAGGTTGACATAGGAAATGGAGAGATATTAGAGGCTCTGTCAGGCTTAAAAACAGTCAGATCCCCTGGCCCAGATGAATTGCATCCCAGGCTGCTGTGGGAGGCATGGCAAGAAATTGCAGGGGCACTGACACAAATTTATCATTCCTCTCGGCCATGGATGAAGTGCCAGAGAACTGGAGAATGGCAAATGTGGTTCCACTTTTCAAGAAAGGTGGTAGAGATGACCCTGGAAATTACAGACCGGTGAGTCTCATGTCAGTGGTACAGAAACGATTCGAGAAAATTCTGAAGGAGTGAATTAATACCCAGTTGGAAAGGTGTGGGTTAATTAGAGATAGTCAGCATGGTTTTGTCAGAGGGAGGTCATGCCAAACAAACTTGGTGGAATTTTTTAAAAATGTGATCATGTGTGGATGAGGGAAGTTCACTTGATGTGGGATTTTAGCAAAGCTTTCAACAAGGTCCCACACAGGAAATAGATCAGAAACTGGCTTAGCAATAGGATACAAACCTTACAAACTTTTAAAAAAATTGGTTGAGGACTTTAACTATCACAACATTCAAGAATATAGGATAAGTGCAAGAAATTGGGATTAGCGCACTTTTGGTTGTAGTTATGTCAGTGTAGACTCAATAGGCCAAAGGGCCTTTTCTGCTCTGTATGAATCTATGAATCTATGCTGCTAATGTACCTTGGGCAGAATTGACTGAGTTTTATGAGGCACTGCAGCTATTAGGATCACCTTAGTGCAATAGAAGCCAGAAACATTATGTCTGAAGGGTGTTGAATGTTTACAAACTAATTTCAACCACTGAGAAACTGTTTAGAGTGAGATTGAAAATCTTTCATTTTATTCTTAGGAAATGGATCATGGAAACAAGGAGATAAATTTGATCTTGAAGCCAAAGCAGCGTACCAGTCACTTCAGACTGTGACTCTATTGAGGTCAGCAAAGCCAGAGTTTTACAAGTTTGCCGCTGACATGAAAAATCGATCGCGTCATCAGTACGAATTGACTCCTGAAGATGACAATGGTGTAAGTCTGGCATATAATTTACAAAGAACCACTTTATATTTGGAAATTCAGATCTGGCACACTTAAAGTTGGGATGTAGAGTTCAAGGGAAGGATTGACTGCAAGTTGACTTTCATAATTCTCAATGAATGAAAACAGCATCAAAGTAGGAAAGTGATCACCTTTCCATATTTGACAACTTCTGTTCATAAGTGACTTTGTCACAAGGCCATGGATAGTTTACTTAAGCCGCAAATAGTTCTGTAAATTTAAACATGACATAGAATACGTGGCAGGTGAGGAAACCACATTGATTGAGATTGTTAATTGCGTACAGTTAAAAATATTTTCCCGTTGTAATCCTGACAGGGAGATGACAGGTTGAATGGCGTTCGGTTGTGTATAACCATTCTACGATTCTAAGTTTCCAATTTCTTGTTCCTGAGAGGAAACCTTACCTGTCTGAAATGCCAAATGTTCATCATATTTTCTCAGCAAACAAGGGCTCCAATTTTTTACTAGGATGGAGAGTGTGTCTGCTCTGGTGAAAATACCGGCATGTTTCCGGAATTGCAAATGCTGTCTACTCACCAACCACAAACCCCCCTCCCCCCACCCCAAAATCCCTCCACAGTCCCAGCTTCTCTCAGTTTCATGGGGGAGGCTGGGGGCCAAGGCCAAATCATATTTCATGTCTGTGTGTGATTCCTGGATGCAGTTGCCCCTGTGAGTGATCTGCTGCTGCATCCCACTGAAATCGGATTCTGGTCTCCCTGCTGGCTGGAAACTGGCATGTGGAGATTACAGCAGGTAATGTCTCAGTATATAGCTTTTGACTGACGCAGTGCCCCTTTGGAGAGCTGTATAGCCTTGCGGATATGGTCCCAAGACATCTTGATGGTGGGGGGGTGGAATCAGGATTCCTTTAGGATTGCGGCAGGGAAAGGATCCAGCATCCTTTCAGGATGGCGACGATTGTGTATAAGTGTTTCTCCTTGAAACTGTGCAGCATGTCAAGAACTATCAATAACTAGCAAAATGTTTTGATCTGTTGAGGTATCAACATGTGTCAAGAAATGTCAACCCATCAAAAAGTGTCTAGAAGTCTTAAAGTGTGAGCTTATCATTGACCAGAAGCTGCACTGGATCAGCCATTGTAAGTACTGCAGCTACAGCAGGAGATGAGAGGCTTTGAATTCTATGGTGAGTAATTCACCTCCTGACTCCTCAAAGCCTGTCCACCATCTAAAGGCATAAGTCAGGAGTGTGATGGAATATTCTCCACTTGCCTGGATGGATCGAGCTTCAATAATACTCAAGAAGATTTAGAGGGCTACTGCGATAGGGCTGGAGAATTGGACTAGCTGGTAGCTCTTTCAGGGGCCGGTGCAGACGTGTTGGGCCAAATGGTCTCCTTTCATACTGTAAAATTCTATGATTCTAAGCTTGACACCATCCAGGGCAAAGCAGGCTGTCTTCAGAGGCTCTATATCCACAAACATACACTCCCTCCACCACCGGTGCATAGTGAGAGCAGTGTGTACCATCTACAATGTACCCTTCAGTAACTCACCAAGGCTCCTTTAATACAACAGCTTCCAAACACTCCGCCCTTCACCACTTTGAAGGACAACAGCAGCAGATGCATGGAATCATCACTATCTGCAAGTTCACCCAGAAGCCGCACATTATCTTGGCTTGGAATTATATCATGATTTCTTCAGTGTCACTGGAACAAAATCCTGGAACTCCCTCCCTATTGGTGTACTTACACCACCTGGACAGCTATGGTTCACGGTTTCAGTTCATAAATACCTTCTCCATGGCAATTGGAGACAGACAGTAAATGCTGGCAAAGGCAGCAAGGCTCCCATCCTATGAATGAATTCAAAGAAAGAATGACAGGGCTTTTCTAAATAGAGTTTAGTCTGCAACTGAAATTTAAATACTTGTTCTGTATTATTTCTACAAATACAAACTTGGTGCAATTTCCAGCTTGTGCTAAGATTCTAAATCAAAAAGACTATGGGTTAAGCTAAGTCTTAGTCTAGTCGAAGCACTTAAACTAAGTCGATTTTCTGGTGCTTAATTGGAAAAGCGTGATATTGTCTGAATTCTCATGTTTTGGATAAACCATTACGATGAGGCTGTTTCTGTTCCACTGGATGTATAAATATCCCATGACAGAATTTGACAAAGAGAAGTGGCGTTCTTCAATGAGAAATCTGTTCAGCAGCTTTGCTGACAGTTCTAAGGCAACTGGCATTGTAACAGGCCTTTAAGACCTGCTTCATCAAAGCTGTCACCTCACTGCTAGCAGGTTTGTTGGAGGAGACACAGAAGTCTGTCAGTGTACTTCAATGACCAAGAGGCCAGAGGTCTTGTCACACCTTCATTTTATGAATCAGAAGATTTGTTGTTTTAAGCCTGTGAATGAAAACATTCGTATTTTATCCTAATATTGACAAAAATGAAATTCTAAATTCTTGAAATGAATAATAAATTGCAAAGAAAAGCTGGTTGAACACTGAGAAGTCAAATACATGGGATAGAGTTTGTGTTTCTTGATGTGGTGAGGGAAGTGAAATAGAAACAGAGGGTTCCACTCCTAGCCCTGCTGTCTATGAATATCCAACCAAGCATCAGATGGCCATATTGTGTAATATTCTCTGGCCAAAGGTAACCCTCAGGATGTTGATAGTGGGGGATTCAGTGATGGCCATGCCATTGAATGTCAAGGGATGATCATTAGATTCTCTCTTGTTGGTGATGGTCATTGCCTAAAACTTGTGTGGTGTGAATGGTGCTATTTATTAGTTTTTCCAGATCTTGTTGCGTTTGGACATGGACTGCTTCAGTATCTGAGGAGTCATGAATGGTGCTGAACCTTGTGCAATCACCAGTGAATATCCCCATTTCTGACCTTATGATAGCGGGAAGCAGCTGAAGGTGGTTGATATTTTCAAATAAAATCATGAGGGTCATAGATAAGGTGAATAGTCAAGGTCTTTTCCCTAGGGTAGGGAAGTCCAAAACTAAAGGGCATAGGTTTAAGGTAAGAGGGGCAAGATTTAATAGGGACCCAAAGGGGCAACTTTTTCACACATAGCGCCGTGTGTATATGGACAGAGCTGCCAGAGGAAGTGGTAGAGATGGGCACAATTATAGCATTTAAAAGACATTTGGACAGGTACAAGGATAGGAAGGGTTTAGAGGGATATGGGCCAAATGGGATTAGTTCAGTTTAAGAAACCCCCTTGGTCAGCTTGGACGAGTGAGATCAAAGGGTCTGTTTCTGTGCTGTATGACTCAGGAATTTTATTACACACCTCTGGACCAGGTGGGACTTGAACCAGGTCTCCTGGCTCAGAGGTACGGATACTACCACAGTGCCACAGGAACGCTAAGAAACTGTATTCACATTTAGCCCATCACACAGAGATCATCAGGGAATTGAACCCTAGTCTCCTGCATGCCAGGCAGAGCTGCTTACCACTTCATTAACATGGAGCTTCTAGTTGTTGGGCCTAGGACACTACTTTGAGGAATGCCTTCAGCTGAGGTCCTTAAAATGATTGGACTCGAACAATCAAAACAACTTTCCTTTGTGCTAAGTATGTCTCCATCCAGTGGAGCAGTGTAGCTTGCCCGGAGCACAATTCTTTAGTACTAGAGTTGCGATGTTCTGTATACCACAAGCTTTTGCTGTAACTATTACATTCAGTTGGCTCTTGATATCATGTGAAGTGAGTTGAATTGGCTGAAGATTGGCATCTGTGATGCTGAGGACTTGAAGAGGCAGCCCAGATGGATCATCCATTTGATTCACATTGACTTCAATTTTATCAGAGGTCCCTAATGCGACACTCTGTCCACAGCAATCACTTGCATCTCACCTCTTAAATTCAGTTCTTTTATCCATATTTGAACCAAGGCTTAATGTGACCTAAAACAGATCATCAGAGATCAAGTTAGTACTATTTAATTATCACTTGATAAAACCATTGAAAACAGCCTTCTTCATTTGCTGATGGTCAAGAGAAGACTATTGGGGCAATAATTAATCAAACTGCATTTTTTTTCTGCTTTAGCTAGGCAATTTTCCACATTGTCAGGTGGGTACCAGTTGTTTTAAAACAGATTTGCTAGTGTTGTTGCTTGTCTGAGGCACAATTCTTCAGTACTGCATTCGGAACGTGGTCTATGCACAAAGCCTTTGCTGTAACTAATACATTCAGATGTTTCTTGATATCATGTGAAGTGAGTTGAATTGGCTGAAGATTGGCATCTGTGATGCTGGGGACCTAAGGAGGAAGCCAAGATGGATCATCCATTTGTCACATCTGACTGAAGATGACCTCAATGTTATACTGATGTGCTGACTTCTGGCCTTATTCAGGACGGGAGTTTCTTCCTATTAGTTTTTTAATTGTTCATCTCAATTCATGACTGAGTGTAGAGGAATGCAGAGCTTCAATCTGCTTGATTAGTTGTGGAATCTTTCAGCTCTGACTATAACTTTCTGTTCTCGTTTTTAGCATGCAGGTAGTCCTGTAGTCCTTTCTGGGCAGCACATCTTGTGCTGTATAGTTCAATGATACCATTTATGACAGCCTGAAGAATGGACTGAAACAGGAACAGTCCTGGCTGCCACCTTGTTGGGTATGTTCTTCTCCATGATCCTGACCTTTGACCTATGGAAGGTGTTCATCTGCATGCTCGTTCAGATGGCAAGTTCGACAAACAGTTCAGTCTGCAAGCGAGGACAAAAATACGCATGTTGTGATCAGAGATTCCTCTACACTGATGATTAATTGCTCACACTGAAACTCAGCTACAAAGACTTGTGAATTGTCTCTCCTGTGGTTGTAATATGTTCTGTGTTACCATAAGTGTTTAAAAATATGGTTACGGCTCAGGATGTCACATTGCTGCTCTTGATTGCTCTAAATATAATCCTGCTGTAAGTGGTTCGCAGATTCTGCTACCTTTGGTCCATGCTGACAATTTGTCTTGTGATT